GCCTAGGATATAAGAAGATTGCCAAGACCCTGAAACTGAGCTGCAGCACGGTGGCCGAGACCATACAGAGGTTTAACAGGACAGGTTCCACTCAGAACAGGCCTCGCCATGGTCCACCAAAGAAGTTGAGTGCACGTGCTCAGCGTCATATCCAGAGGTTGTCGTTGGGAAATAGACGTATGAGTGCTGCCAGCATTGCTGCAGAGGGTGAAGGGGTGAGGGGTCAGCCTGTCAGTGCTCAGACCATATGCCGCACACTGCATCACATTGGTCTGCATGGCTGTCATCCCAGAAGGAAGCCTCTTCTAAAGATGATGCACAACAAAGCCCGCAAATAGTTTGATGAAGACAAGCAGACTAAGGACATGGATTACTGGGACCATGTCCTGTGGTCTGATGACACCAACATAAACTGATTTTGTTCAGATGGTGTCAGGCGTGTGTGGCGGCAACCAGGTGAGGAGTACAAAGACAAGTGTGTCTTGCCTACAGTCAAGCATGGTGGTGGGAGTGTCATGGTCTGGGGCTGCATGAGTGCTGTCAGCACTGGGGAGCTACAGATCATTGAGGGAACCATGAATGCCAACATGTACTGTGACATACTGAAGCAGAACATGATCCCCTCCCTTGAGAGACTGGGCCGCATGGCAGTATTCCAACATAACGACCCCAACACACCTCCAAGATGACCACTGCCTTGCTAAAGAAGCTGAGGGTAAAGGTGATGGACTGGCCAAGCATGTCTCCAGACCTGAACTCTACTGAGCATCTGTGGGGATTCCTCAAACGGAAGGTGGAGGAGCGCAAGGTCTCTAATATCCACCGGCTCCGTGATGTCGTCATGGAGGAGTCGAAGAGGACTCCAGTGGCAACCTGTGAAGCTCTGGTGACCTCCATGCCCAAGAGGGTTAAGGCAATGCTGAAAAATAATGGTGGCCACACAAAATATTGACCCTTTGGGCCCACACAGAACATGGAAAAGCAATTATTTTAGTAAAAATAAACTGCTAAATATCAGCAGTATATAGCAGTCTTGTGACTTCTATCAGTGTCCAGCAGAACGCTGGTTAAAGCTTGTAGGCAGGCTTTTCATTCTCCCCCGATTGTCCTATGAGTCTGTATAATCCCTGACTCTCTGTCTGGACAGTGCTGATTGGCCCTGTGCTGATCACATGCACCCTCCCAAAAAAAAAAAAAAAAAAAAAAGACTCTAGCAATACCCACTAAGCTGAGCATGACAGCTTGCTCCTAAGGCTCTCCTCTATTAGCAGATGGATCGGGGACACTTCAAAGACATGCTGGTAGGTTAATTACCTCCTGTGCAGAACTTACCAGAGTATGTGTATGTATGTGTGATAGGGACCTTGGATTGTAAGCTCCCTGAGGACAGGGACTGATCAATACAATATCTAAAGGAATGAGTAAATGATCTGCACTATATAAGTGCCTGTAATAAATAATTCTGATTGAAGAACACTGCCGGCGCTGGACAGAGGGAGGAAGTCTGGGACCGTGTTGGAGCGTGCAGATCAGAAGTGTATATAGAAGGATGGGGAATCCACAGAAATAAAATATATAGTTGGAGTTCTACTTTAAATGATGTTTTCCAATGAAGGTGTTCAGGTCAAGGGGCTCTGCCTTTTTGCTGCCTTTTTGCATTCAATTTGAGCTTTAAGGCGCATGCGTTTGGAAACAAAAGCAGTAATTGGCTTCCTTTGACTTCAATGCAAACATTTCCAGAGCATCTGCCACATTCAAAGAAACTCAACTCAAACCAGGTCAGCCGCAGCCTCAGAAATGCCATCCACATGGCACCATTGAAGTAAAAAAGTACAGATCTGAGACTGATGTGCGTTTCAAAAGCCGGGAAACGAGAGCCTGTCTATGTGAGCTCCGAAAATGCTGGTAAATCTTGTGCCAGCTCCACATTTTTACCCATCTGACATTGTGACATTCACCTCCGTCGCTGAACTTCATAAACTGCTGAGTTTATTTCTCACGTATCACGTACCTGAAGGGGATGGCTTCCCTTATAACTCTGGTCCAAACACCCCTGGAATAGTAACAGCATCTGTGGCACTCTGTGCCCTTTCATTCCCTGAGGGCCCAGCCCCCAGGTACTTACCTTCTGGTAGGTAACTTGGCAGAAAGGTGCTCATGTAGACCACAGGAGATATCACCGAGGAACCGAGGCAAGGGTCCCACTGAGGAGCAGACTGGAACTATGACTGGCTGAAACACTAGCCAAGTGCAATGACAGGCAGGCAGAGGGAGACAAGTCCAAGGGCAGGCTGGGTCAGCAATGGGAAAGCAGATCTCAGGACCAGGTTTCAAGTAGCTGGGTTAGCCACATCCTGACTCACCAGAACCCACACCAGACTGCAAGCTTGTCCCAAGACAGGTGGAGGTCAGCAACTGGGGAAGCAGATAGGGCAGAATGTAGAATCATGGTCAGAAAAAAGGATGAGGTCACAATGGGAAGGAAGCAGAATCCTGATCTAGAAGCAACCTGAGGTCACAGCAAAAGATCAGCTAGGTCAGGGTTTCTCAACCAGGGTTCCATGGAATCATACGGTTCCTCCAAAGCTTGCTAGGGGTTTCTTGAGCAATGAGCATGGTCCAAGGCAAGTGGAGGCCAGCAACCGGGAAGACAGTTAGCAGGCAGGGCGGAATGTAGAATCATGGTTAGGAAAAAAAGGATGAGGTCACACTGGAAAGGAAGTTGAGTCTTGGTCAAGAGGCAACCTGAGGTCACAACAAAAGATCAGCTCAGTCAGGGTTTCCCAACCAGGATTCCATGGAATCATAGGGTTCCTCCAGAGGTTGCTAGGGGTTCCTTTAGCAATGAGCAATTTCTCTCTCTCTGATAACTTCCCACTGACACCATTGATCCTTTTAGCTGTCTGTAAGGTGGGAATTCCTCCCAATGATGACAAGGAGCATTCTTGCTAACGTATCAGGAGTTGTAGATGTAGTAATTTTTAGCAGGGGTTCTCTGCAACTGGAAAGTTATTTCAAGAGTTCCTCTGTGTTGAAAAGGTGGAGAAGGTACAGAGGTAAGCTGTAGTCAGGAACTATCCCAGGTAGAACTGGAAATCAGAGACATGCCATGGTCAAGAACTAGCCCAAGGTTAATAGTAGGCCGGCAGAGGGAGACAAGTCCAAGCACAGGCTGGGTCAGCAATGGGAAATCGGATCTAAGAAACAGGTTCAGGGATCAAGTGGCAGGGACAGCCACTTCCTGACTCACCAGAACCCATGTCACACCCATGTCACACTGGAAGCATGGTCGAAGACTGATGGAGGTCAACAACCGGGAAGGCAGATAGCAGGCAGGGAGGAATGTAAAATCATGGTCAGGAAAAAGGATGAGGTCACACTAGGAAGGAAGCAGAATCTTGGTCAAGAGGCAACCTGAGGTCACAACAAAAGATCAGCTAGGTCAGGGTTTCTCAACCAGGGTTCCATGGAATCATAGGGTTCCTCCAGAGGTTGATAGGGGTTCCTTGAGCAATCAGCAATTTCTCCCTCACAGATAAAATCCTGAAAAAAATGAATTTCCATGCGCACTTTGTTCCTTGAACTAACATTCACTTCTCATTTACATGAGCCTTTTTTTCTTTTCCAGTGCTTCGTCTTTCTACTAATGCAGGACAGTGGAAGGAACCTGCCAGCAAGGTGACCCATGCCTTGGTCAACATCAGGTACGAGATCTGCTGTTTGATGTCTTGAAATGCTGAGGATTTCGCAATTGTTTATTCTAATTTAACTGTATCATGGACCAAACCATCATTCTTTAGAGTGCCACTGACGCGTTTCGTCCTCCGGTCTTGTTAAAGGGAGCAAAGATTTGGCTCCCTGTTTACTGAAGGTATTACCTGTCCCTTGATCCCGCGGTGTCCCCTTCGCAGCCCGTTTCACCAGTTGCCCTGTGTTCCCAGCTTGTAGCTTCACAGCTGGGAGCTGACTGTGCATGCGCGAGTAACGCTGCGCTTTGCGAATGGTCCCGTAGTCTTCTGGGGCCTGTCACGTGTCCCACAAGACTACGGGGAGGGAGGACAACTTCTGCTTCTGATCGCCTAGGTGATCGCAGTGGAAGTGGGAAAGTGGGAGCGGGTACCTGGTCCCCCCTGCTCCCCAAAGGTGAGTGGGGGCCCAGTCTTTAGAGCGGAGCTTCCCCTTTTGGGTGTAGTTCCTCTTTAAGTCTCAATTAAGAGGTTTCAACTTGCTGGATTTTTCCCATTCATTGTCTGTCTATCGATCTGTCTAGAGGGGTTGAGTGATACAAAAAGTAATAGCTGTGGGGGGGGGGGGATGGGCTGATAGAGGAAATAAATGTCAGCTTACTAGGTAGAAGCAGGATAGACTTTTTTAAAGAAAAAGATTTTCAGAAATCATCTAAAGGTGGATAGATTAGGAGATAAGTCGGACAGATTGGGGTAGGGAGTTCCATAGGATGGGAGAGGCTCAGGAGAAGTCATGGAGGCGAGCATGGGAAGAGGTGACACAGGAACTAGAGAGCAGAAGGTCTTGGGAGGATCGAAGAGAGCGGTTTGGTTGATATTTTGAGACCAGGTTGGGGATGTAGCTGAGGGCAGAGTTGTGGATGGCTTTGTAAGTTATTGTTAGTATTTTGAATTGAATACATTGGGTGAGTGGATGTCAGTGGAGGGATTGGAAGAGAGGGGTGGAGGACACTGAGTGGATGTCAGTGGAGGGATTGGAAGAGAGGGATAGCAGACACTGAATGGAAGCCAGGAGAGGGATTGGCAGAGAGGGGTGGAGGCCAGTGGAGGGATTGGCAGAGAGGGGTGGAGGCCAGTAAAGGGATTGGCAGAGAGGGGTGGAGAACACTGAGTGGAAGTTAGTGGAGGGATTGGCAGAGAGGGATGGAGGACACTGAGTGGAAGCCAGTGGAGGGATTGGCAGAGAGGGGTGGAGGCCAGTAGAGGGATTGGCAGAGAGGGATGGAGGACACTGAGTGGAGGCCAGTGGAGGGATTGGCAGAGAGGGGTGGAGGCCAGTAGAGGGATTGGCAGAGAGGGATGGAGGACACTGAGTGGAGGCCAGTGGAGGGATTGGCAGAGAGGGATGGAGGACACTGACTGGAGGCCAGTGGAGGGATTGGCAGAGAGGGATGGAGGACACTGAGTGGAGGCCACTGGAAGGATTGGCAGAGAGGGATGGAGGACACTGAGTGGAGGCCAGTGGAGGGATTGGCAGAGAGGGGTGGAGGACACTGAGTGGAGGTCAGTGGAGGGATTGGCAGAGAGGGATGGAGGACACTGAGTGGAGGCCAGTGGAGGGATTGGCAGAGAGGGGGTGGAGGACACTGAGTGGAGGTCAGTGGAGGGATTGGCAGAGAGGGATGGAGGACACTGAGTGGAGGCCAGTGGAGGGATTGGCAGAGAGGGATGGAGGACACCGAGTGGAGGCCAGTGGAGGGATTGGCAGAGAGGGATGGAGGACACCGAGTGGAGGCCAGTGGAGGGATTGGCAGAGAGGGGTGGAGGACACTGAGTGGAGGTCAGTGGAGGGATTGGCAGAGAGGGATGGAGGACACTGAGTGGAGAGGTCAGTGGAGGGATTGGCAGAGAGGGATGGAGGACACTGAGTGGAGGCCAGTGGAGGGATTGGCAGAGAGGGATGGAGGACACTGAGTGGAGGTCAGTGGAGGGATTGGCAGAGAGGGATGGAGGACACCGAGTGGAGGCCAGTGGAGGGATTGGCAGAGAGGGATGGAGGACACCGAGTGGAGGCCAGTGGAGGGATTGGCAGAGAGGGGTGGAGGACACTGAGTGGAGGTCAGTGGAGGGATTGGCAGAGAGGGATGGAGGACACTGAGTGGAGGCCAGTGGAGGGATTGGCAGAGAGGGGTGGAGGACACTGAGTGGAGGTCAGTGGAGGGATTGGCAGAGAGGGATGGAGGACACTGAGTGGAGGCCAGTGGAGGGATTGGCAGAGAGGGATGGAGGACACCGAGTGGAGGCCAGTGGAGGGATTGGCAGAGAGGGGTGGAGGACACTGAGTGGAGGTCAGTGGAGGGATTGGCAGAGAGGGATGGAGGACACTGAGTGGAGGCCAGTGGAGGGATTGGCAGAGAGGGGGTGGAGGACACTGAGTGGAGGTCAGTGGAGGGATTGGCAGAGAGGGATGGAGGACACTGAGTGGAGGCCAGTGGAGGGATTGGCAGAGAGGGATGGAGGACACCGAGTGGAGGCCAGTGGAGGGATTGGCAGAGAGGGGTGGAGGACACTGAGTGGAGGTCAGTGGAGGGATTGGCAGAGAGGGATGGAGGACACTGAGTGGAGGCCAGTGGAGGGATTGGCAGAGAGGGGTAGCAGACACTGAATGGTTGGTGAGGTGGATGAGCCTGGCAGCAGCATTCATGATGGACTGGAGGGGGGGGGGGATAGCCTATGTAAAGTAAGCCAAAAGTTGTCAGTTTGTTTGCCGTGTGGCGAGGTCCAGTACCAGAGGTTATGATGGCAAAACGGGAAAACGGTCGTCTGATGAGCATAAGCGCGATCTCCGTGGTCATCTGATCGAAAGTGACAAAAGGACATTGTACAGGATTGTGATCCGGAATAAGAAAACCGCTGCTGCAAAAGTGACTGCAGAGCTCAATCTCAGTCCCGTGAAGACTGCACTGTATACAGCATGAACATGGATTTTGCTGGAGGCACACTTGAATGGCGCCCTCCCGGAACATCTGTAGGCTGTCATCTGTATGATGTGATCTGCCATCCGCACATATGTAAGCCGGCAGGACGGGCGGAGAGGCAGATCACTGAGTACGTTTAACGCCGGAGACGGAACGTTTCCGACAGATAATACCTTTCATCCTGATCAGTGACACGCGTGTTTGTTCCCGCTCCTCATTGCCATGTGTAGTCACGCCGTTCTCTAAGCGGAACGCTCTGATAACCGATGAACCAGTAGATTTTCCTGGACGCCGATTGTTCACAGAGACGTGGATTTATCATCTCCCCGGGACAGGCAAACACTATAAATATCCCCGCCGTGTCTAATGGCCAGTCGATATTTCAGACAGATTGTTTCGGGTATTTCAGCAAACGATTATTCGGAGTTGTGTTGCGCAGATCTAGCTCACCGGCAGATGTCTGACGTAGGGAGAATATATCCCGATTGAAGCTGCATACTGCAGCAATGTCTACACCGGATGATGATCTGTGGAGGGATGATCCTCCGATCTGTTAGAGATGGTGTACTACAATGCACATCCCTCCGAGGGCCATGTCTGCCTGCATGGGGATGTATAGGTGTTCCGTGCTTCTCAGTGCCGGCAATCCTGTTCATGTCGCAGTGTGCACTCGGGGCCTCGCTCCCCACACCGCTTACAAAATGCAGCTGCTGCACGGAACTCTGGGCACCGCCCTTGTACAGGGCATTTGCTGTAGTGCGCCTATGGTAAAAAGGCCAAAATCAGGGGTACGCAACCTTTCAGAAGTGGAAATCTACCTGGACAACATGGTGAAAATCAGAGATCCCGAAGGGGCAACGGACTGTAAACCCCCCCCCCCCCCCCCTAAAAAAAACCCCCAAAAACCTATCAAGCCCCCAGCAAAAAGATGGCATGAACAACACATAGTGTATCACAGTAGTGTCCTGTGCCCCCTCCCCCACTCCCTCAGTAGTATCTTCTCCCCCCCCTACGGTAGTGTCCTGTGCCCCCTCCCACTCTCCACAGTAGTGTCTTCTCCCCCCCCCACAGTAGTGTCTTCTGCCCCACTTCACATCATCCCCCCCACAGTAATGTCCGCTGCCCCTTCTCATCACCCCCTACAGTAGTGTTCTCTGTCTCTGCCCCCCCCACAATAGTGTCTTATGCCCCCTTCACAACTCCCCCCCCCCCCCGCACAGTAGTGTCCTCTGCCCCTGTGCCCCCTCCAGATAGTAGTGTCCTCTGCCCCCTTCACATCACCCCCCCCCCCCCCCCACCCACAGTAGTGTCTTTTCCCCCCACAGTAGTGTCCTCTGTTTCTGCCCCCTACAGTAGTGTCTTCTGCTGCCACCCCTTCGCACAGTAGTGTCTTCTCCCCCCTTCACATCACCCCCCCACAGTAATGTCCTCTGCCCCTTCTCATCACCCCCCACAGTAGTGTTCTCTGTCTCTGCCCCCACAGTAGTGTCTTCTCCCCCCTTCACATCCCCCCCCCCACAGTAATGTCCTCTGCCCCTTCTCATCACCCCCCACAGTAGTGTCTTCTCCCCCCTTCACATCATCCCCCCCCCACAGTTATTTACTCTGCCCTGCACAGTAATGTCCTCTGCCCCTTCACATCACCCCCCCACAGTAATGTCCTCTGCCCCTTCTCATCACCCCCCCACAGTAATGTCCTCTGCCCCTTCTCATCACCCCCCACAGTGTCCTCTGTCTCTGCCCCCCACAGTAGTGTCTTCTCCCCTCTTCCCCCCACAGTAGTGTTTTATGCCCCCTTCACAACTCCCCCACCACAATAACGTACTCTACCCTCCACAGTAGTGTCCTCTGCTCCCTTCACACCATCCCCCCCCCCCCACTCTGCCCAACACAGTAATGCTCCCTTCACACCATCCCCCCCCCCACAGTAATGTACTGCCCAACACAGTAGTGTCCTCTGCTCCCTTCACACATCCCCCCCCCCCCTCCTCCACAGTAATGTACTCTGCCCAACACAGTAGTGTCCTCTGCTGTCACCCCTTCCCCACAGTAGTGTCTTCTCCTCCCTCCCCTGACAGTAGTGTGTTCTGCCCCCCTTCACATAATTCCCCCCCCCCAGTCATTTACTCTGCAACCGGCCACCCTACAGCAATGTCCTCTTCCCCCTTCTCATCGCCCCCCACAGTAGTGTTCTCCATTTGCCCCCCACCGTTGCCACAGTAGTGTCCTCTGCCCCTGTGCCCCCTCCACATAGTAGTGTCCTCTGCCCCCTTGACATCACTCCCCACCGTAGTGTCCTCTGCCCCCCTCCATATCGTCCTCCCCCCCAACAGTACTCTGCCCACCACAGTAGTGTGTTCTGTCCCCTTCACATCACCCCCTACGGTGGTGTCTTCTCCCCCCCCCTCTTCCCCACAGTAGTGTCTTCTCCCCCCCTCTTCCCCACAGTAGTGTCTTTTTCCCCTCTCTTCCACACAGTGTCCTCTGCCCCCTTCGCATCACCCCCACAGTAGTGTCTTCTGCCCCCTTCAGATCACCCCCACAGTAGTGTCTTCTGCCCCCCTTCAGATCACCCCCACAGTAGTGTCTTCTGCCCCCCTTCAGATCACCCCCACAGTAGTGTCTTCTGCCCCCCTTCAGATCACCCCCACAGTAGTGTCTTCTGCCCCCCTTCAGATCACCCCCACAGTAGTGTCTTCTGCCCCCCTTCAGATCACCCCCCCCAGTAGTGTCTTTAGTATGTCAGATACCCCCCCCCTCAGTCTTTTAGTATGTCTATACATACAGTCAGCTGTACTCTATGTAAACCTACTCAGAAGGTTCACCTCCATGTGTGTGTTTGCTGTCACCCACTGCAGCCACAATTCACAGAGAACCTCACATGGTCAGTGGGAGTGTGCTTCCTAAAGCTTGTGTCATGTGACGTCCTCTTTCTCTGCCTCCTGTATTGCCAAAGCAGGCTTGGATTTCATTGGTGGCTCAGTATCCTCTCATTTTTTTGTATCGTGAGAGAGAGCGAGGAGTCTGCTGTGGGTGTATTTGTGAATCTATTCCTCAGCATCAGAGTCCGGGGTTCTCAGACCACCCGACTGTCCGGAGGGACTGGAGGGACCTTGATCTCTCAGGATTTGCCTTTCCCGCTTTATTGGGACTGTATCTTTAATACTTCTGCTGTATCCGCTGCCTGGATATTGCCTTGTAAAAGTTCCCTTCCCGGGATGTGACGGGACTGTACGCCTCGGTGACGGATCCCAGGGGGGCTCCTGTCTGCATAAAGACAGATTATTCATTTTTTTTCCCTTCTCTACCAGATGGGACCTGGAAAGGTTAATCTTTTCATACCAGTTAAGTTTCCTCCGGAGACACGCTGGCATATCCTTCGTGCTTTCATCATTTTTTATTACACCTACATTGCGGCAAGTCTATAGATCATACAGATATTCCTCCGCTACGAGCCGCGCTTCTGTCGTGGTGCCGCTTCTTGGTCGCAGGGGCCCCATGCTGCCGGTTCCTACAATGTCCAATATACAAAGGGGAAATCTGGATCAACAAGTTCCAGTCCGGGCCGATTCTGACCTTTTCTCTCCTACATGTAAAAACCATCTTTTTTTTTTTTTTTCCTAGAAAACTACATTATATATATTTAGCAGCAGAGACCCCGGAGAATAAAATGGTGGGTGTTGCACAGGTCTCATCCCTTCTGAGTCATTACTTCTCTCCGCCCCTCTGCCCACCTCCAAGCACTGTCACTTGGTTCCACCTCCTACCCACCTCCAAACACTGTCACTCGGTTCCACCCCCTACCCGCCTCCAAGCCCTGTCACTCGGTTCCACCCCCTACCCGCCTCCAAACACTGTCACTCGGTTCCACCCCCTACCCGCCTCCAAGCACGTCATTCGGTTCCACCCCCTACCCACCTCCAAGCACTGTCACTCGGTTCCACCCCCTGCCCACCTCCAAGCACTGTCATTCAGTTCCGCCCCCTACCCACCTCCAAGCACTGTCATTCGTTTCCGCCCCCTACCAACCTCCAAGCACTGTCACTCGTTTCCGCCCCCTACCAACCTCCAAGCGCTGTCACTCGTTTCCGCCCCCTACCCACCTCCAAGCGCTGTCACTCGGTTCCGCCCCCTACCCACCTCCAAGCACTGTCACTCAGTTCCGCCCCCTACCCACCTTCAAGCGCTGTCACTCGGTTCCACACCTCCTACCAACCTCCTACCCACCTCCGAGCACTGTCACTCATTTCCGCCCCCTACCCACCTCCATGCACTGTCACT